AAAAAAAAAACTCACGTTAAGGGACATAGGGAAGAGAATGGCTCGGAGTGAGAGCGATAGCTTGACAGAGCAAATGTTGGAGGCTTTTTATAGCCAAAGCTTTTCAGGTTTAATCCTCTCCACAGGTGTCTGTGTGGGAGGAGGGAGAAGCAGAAAAAAAGACAAAAGAAACAAAAGAGCATCCTCCCGAAAGGGTTTCTTGTCATTCATTCTATTCAAAAAGTCCCACGAGAAGAATTTTCCCCCCCCTTCTCACACGGAATTCAAGTTAACAGTGAGAAAATCGCTATAGGGAGTGAAAATTTCATTCGAGATATCCAGAAATTCGAGATAAGCGAATTCGAGTTAAACGGAGTTAACATGGTGTCCTACGGGGTTCCGCCGAGATCAAGCATTGAGCTTCGAGATAAGTGGAATTTCAACTTATCAGGCTTCGAGTTAACGAGTTTCCACTGTATTTAAACCTCCATAAATTAAATGCAATTAATAACATACCTGGTGCTAATGCATAATAGCATAAATTCATTTCTTCGACACCAGTTTAAGTTGTGAAGCATTGCAGGTCAGCCGAAAGAAGAAAATTAAGAATGCATTACTTAAAAGGAAGTAAAACCAGTGCTAACATTTACAAAATGGCAACAAATGGACAGCCAGGGCTGAGGTTTTCGCATGGTGTAAGTAACTGAATTGACAAAAGCACTCCATGGATCACTAATTTCATGAAGACTAGCTTTAGGGATACAATCCGTGGGGGAGGGGGTCAAAACCTCGTTCAAGTTGATGACGTCATCGATACGGATTGGAAATAAATGGTGCCGTTAGTAGCAGCTTGGGTCTCGCGGAAGAGGACTGGGATTCGTTTCCCATTTTACACGAATATTTAACCCTTTGCCCACGGCTATCGAGCCATGCTCGACGATGTCCATAGTGTTACGAGAAAAACGGAGTGCAAAGCGTTAAAGAGGGTCTCGAGTAACGTTTCGCAACCGCGGGGTCGTGTGATAGGTTCGATTTGGGGCTCCTACTGACGCGTTCGCCTCACGCCTTCATGAGAATACGAGCGTGCATTCACGGAGGGATCCGAATGAGTCCATTTCCACTCGGTTCGGCATCGAGAGGCGGAGTGGACGACCTCCCGCTTCTCCTCTGAACCTGCAGGCGCGTCTGAGATGCAGGCTGGCAGCGTTCCCGACCGTCGAAGCGGTATAGCGATGCGAGGAGGCATCTGAGCGATGAGGGAGTCGATCCGCCGTCTCCTGCGAACGCTTCCCACTGATGCAGTCGCACTTGAGCTGCGAATGCTCGGGGGAGAATCACGTTCATGAATCGAGAGAAACTCTGCAGGTCGTCAGTGTGAACGTTAATAATGAAGGAAACTTGACTGGCAATGCACGAGTCCAGAACCGATAACTCCGGCTGAAAATTTGATCTTTGAAGGGTAACCTTCCAGATCTCAAATTTTAGTCATGTTCTCAGGATGCTAAGGTTGGCGTGATCTTTTGATGATTTCTTGACCTTGAAATTAATCTCTTTGAAGCCTATTACGTTGCCAGTTCTTCCTTATACGTGGGATCGTTAAAAAATTTGCATTTTTTTCTGTAATAAGAATGGTAGACCAGGATTTTTTTTCCCCCTCTCAAAGCCATTTATTCAAGGTTTCTCAACATGATCCCCATCAACTTCGATGCACTTCTTGAGCCTGGAGATCGAAACACCTCCGAAATTCGTCTCTTTTCCAGCCTTTTCAGCTCCTCGTTTACTGCCGCATCGTGCTCTTTGCGCCCGTCAAACACGCTTCCGCGCAATTTGTCCTTAATTTTTGGGAATAACCAAGGTCGTCCCAAGACGGAACTCCGCAGGGATTCCTCCGACATGACAATGCCCCGGCTCATCGAACCACCGCCGTATTCCCCTCATCTCGCCCCTTGCGACTTTTGGTTATTCCCAAAAATTAAGTTCAAATTGCGCGGAAGCGCGTTTGACGGGCGCGAAGAGCATTCTATCATTCCACGTGGCAACGCGACGACGACACGGAAAAACCATACAACCGTTGAAGAACTCTCGCGCTTGTCGGCTCCCTTGCGTTGCACGTGAGAGCTTTCAAAGGACTGAAAGCGAGGAGGGCAGCGACGAAAGTGCACGTCACCCTGCAATTCTGATGAGATGGACCGCCACGATAAATCTGCTGCTCTGGACTTCCTTGCGGAGCCGTGTGAACGCAAGCGGCGACGAACCGGGGAATCTCCCCGCATCTCAATTGTCACGACTGAAATCCCAGGAATCGTGGCAGCAGGCGGGAAACACTGCAGCGAGCGACGCCAGTGCTCCCTTTCGAGCATCAGGGCAACTTTCTGTCTCCTCGTCTATACAAAAGATGGCGAGACGAGACCTGATCTCCGAATCTCCGATTTTCCGTAAAAGTTGCATCCCTTCCCTTTCGTCAGGCCTACTTGCAAATTTAATATCGCAAAGGCACATCCTCGGACGATAAGAAATGCGAGGGGTGTTCGAAAAGTAATAGGAATTTTGAATTTTTTCCCAATCAACATATTTATTCATCTAAACTTTGCTCATG